GACTTCATCATCTCAAGTTCACTCAGGAACTTATTGGAACCATCGCTCGTTACCAATGTAACTCCCCGTCCGGCCTACGATGTTCACCCATTGCTTACACCTCACATAGGTACACAATCGTTTGTAATCATCGCTCACACCTCACATAGGCACACGATGTTACAACGAATTCTCATTAGAATCACACAACACAAGAATGTGCATCATTATGCTTCACATACAAAATGACTCAAGACACTCTTGAAATGCATACATATTTACAATATATTCATGCATTCATCTCATACTATCACATACAATCGATATACATTCACATCAATTACGCTAAACGGCAACGAGCATCACTTTACCACCTAAGCAGCAACGAACTCTATCACAATTATCATGCATTTACATTTAAATTAAACAATGCATTTATTTGCCAAAAGGCCACAATTGACAATAAATTCCACAATCTAGGATTCACGCCATACGGCTACCCACAGCATATCATATAACAGCACACAAGCTACACGTTTCGGAAGAAGGTTGAACAACATCCGAGTCGAAGAATCGATATTGGATGGAAAAAGAAAAAATGTTGTGCTGTCATGCTCGCTAGGCGAGTAGAATGGTTCGCCTAGCGAGTCCTTCGCTACTCCACTCGCTCCAGAGAGTTTTAGTCTTTTTGGTTCTGCCCAAGTCTGGGAGTGTTCGCTGGTAGCTCGCTGTGTGCTCGCCTAGCGAACACTTCGCTACCTCACTCACCAGTGATTCGCCTAGCGAATACTTCGCTACTCAAACCCTCAATTATCCAAAAATGTCAAAAAGTCACAAAATCACCCGATTTCAATCAAACAAGTTTCAATAGTCTCAGCCTAACATTCCTCAACTAAACTACACAGTTTATTTCGAATTCTAACCGTGAAAACATCAGTTTCTATCGATTTAATCAATTCAACCTAAAATAGAAATATGTGGAAAAACAACCAAAACAATCCAAACAACACATACATAATGATATACATTGATGAGATAATAAGATTTCACATCCTTATCCGATTAAATCGATTCCTAGAAGTTGTTTTGAAGATTTCCAAGTTTTTCCTCTTTTTCTTCTCTTTTCTCTTCTTCCTCTTTCTTTCTCTCCTTTTTCTTCTTTCTTTCTCTTTTCTCTCCTCTTTCCCTCTTATATCTTTCTATTCTAATTCTTTTCTATTATTCTTTCTCACAAAATATCTAATAAATCATCTTCTCACAAAATATCTAACTTAACATTAATTAAGAAATATCTAAAATACCCTCCAACCTAATTTTCCCGAAAACTCTCAAAAACGATAAAATAACACAATATGCAAACATAACATATTAACACACCAATTCCACAAATAAAATAATAATCACCCAAATAAAATAAAAGACTCAACAAAAATGGGAAATCAGAATCAGGGCGTTACACGCTTCATTTTTTATCCGTGAGATGTGATCTTTAGTGCGGGTCGCTCCTCTAGCAACGAAATATAAACAAATTAATTCATACTTAAATAAATTATACACATATAAACAAAATTTAAATTTAAACATAAAATACATATATCTCGCCCTGCCATAATAGTAAGGTCATATGCTCACCGTACTCTATAAGCACAGACCGGACGATGGGTCTTCCTGAGAATCCTCCATCAGTATGCACAGAGAGCTCATTCGAAGGAACCGTAACCTTTGTCTCAACAGTAACTGATTGGCCCGACTCACCAACAACAATATCTAGTTGTACCTCCTCAACAGCCTCCCGAGCAACCTCTTCGACAACCTCTCGAACAACCACCAGATCAACTACCTGAGCAACCACCGGCTCAACCACCGACTCAACTATAGAAACGTCTGCCAACACCTCCTTTATATCCTGCTCTGCTGATCAAACTCCACGTCGGCGAGTGGTACGAGGTACCTGGAAATGTCACCGCTCCGCCATTCGCTTCTGGTGTGAATTGGTGGGAACCACTCGTCCTTCTCGTAAATGTGAAGACTCGGGATCAACATCACTGGCAAGCTTATCTAATTTGATGCTCGATCTGCAACTCTCCCTACAATAGTCATGTCTCTGCCTCTGGATTTCACTGCAAAAGAAGAAAACAAACAATCAAGAAAAAAAAAACAAAGGCAACAGTTATCGAAAATTTTAAAATTTCTTGTATAAAACTAAATTTTTATAACCACCGGATATTTTAAAATTTCTGGTATAAAACTAAATTTTTATAACTACCAGAAATTTTGAAATTTTCGGTAAGATACAAACTAGTTTTTTAAACTACCGGAAATTTTGAGAAAATATTGAGGTTTGCATCAAAAATTTTGAAATTTTCATTAAAAGTTATTGGAAATTATGAAATTTCAGGTAAAACTTATCGGAAATTTCAAAGTTTCCAGTATAAATTATCGAAAATTTCAAAATTTCCGATACAAATTACTAAAAATAATGAAAATTGTGATAAATTTCCTGAAAACCCCGCAAATAAATTGTTTTTGAAAATTATGATAGTTGCTTTAAAATTTCCTGAAAACCCCGCAAATAAATTGCAAATTTGAAAAATATGAAGAAAAAAAAAATTCAAAATTACTCTAGTCTTTTCATATACGTTGAAGGGTGTGAGGTTTAATTATAGGGTGAAGGTAGAATCCATTGAAACAGTTTGTGTTTAAAATTTAGAGTGTATCTCTGTCCTTCAGTTATCTATCCCACATCCCACATGTCTTGAGTGAGTCTTCTTTTATGTTTATTTTATCTTTCGCTTTATAAACTATCTCCATGCTTTCTTTGACCTTTATTTTGATATCGCTCGAAGATCTTCTTGAATATTCAAATTATTAAAAAATTAAAAAATAAAAAGTAAAAAATCTTTGTAGACAATATCTCACAAACAAGTTCAAATTCACTCTAAATTTTTTAATTTGTTAACATCAGCTAAAGACTTAGATTAATATTTAAAGGTGAAAAGCCTTAATTTAGAAACGTAGTTAAATCAATTCAATTCGATTGGGGTGGAGTATTATAAATCATTTAGCATTAACAAAAGGTTCTGGTGAGCATAGATATCATCACATTGTTGAAGAATGTGAGGTTGCTTATGTATGTGAAGAAAATGGTGATACAAACAGTCATAGTTTTCTCAGATTTCTCGCTTATGTCGTAAAAATTCTTGAATAATTCTACCAGCATTACATATTTGTCGTATTATGTTTTTGCTCCATGATCTGAGCCAAGGAAAAATGAACAAGCACTTATGTATCATCATATCCGTTCGGGTTACCGAAGGTGCCCAGGTTTAAAAATTAGAATACAATCAATATATACAAGAGCAACTTCCAAAGAAGAATTTGTAAATAACCTAAAACTAGGAAGATCAAATCATGATATGGAAAAGCATATCAAGGGGATGAATTAAAAAGTTGAAAAAAGCAAATTGAGAGTACTTCTATTGCCATGTCATTTTTGTTTTATATTTAGACCTCTTTAGGTTGAACTTGCTCGAAGTCAAAAAACTCAAACATCAGACGTCTCACATCGCGTTTCCCATAAACAAGATATGAGAGCCCGTGAATAGCTTGATTAACAGCTGTTGTGGCTGGATTTCTCCGTCTCCGGTTGCGCTCATAAGCGTCTTGCACCTTATCATCATATATAATAAACTTGTGAAGATGTTTGGCCCTCAAATATCTTCCACAATATTTGTTCATAAGAATGCGGCGATGTTTCTCTTGTAGCCACAGCCCAGGAGCATCTAAATGCTTCATCAACAATCTTTCAGCCATCACCAAATCCTTAAGAGAATACAAACATAGTCATTTATAAAGTATTCAACGAAGAAGAAAGTTATATACAATAAGTAGAAGTTGAATAGTAAATATGGACAAGATTGCATCCTCCCCTTTCCCGTCTTATCAGTAAAAATGTGACATATATTAAACTAAATATTTACCCAATCACTTGTGCTTCCTCTTTCTCACATAAGGTTTCTCCTTCCACAAGTTTGGTAAACACACCACTCTTTTTCTGTTTTGAACTCTCTCCCTCAGCATCTGCCTCACCACCTTGAGGCTTGATGATATCATCTTTCTCATGTCTTTCAAAGTCACGCACTCCCAGGCTCCTATATCTTGCTCTACATCAAGCCTCAAACATGGTCACCCGCCTCCCTCATTTCTAAGAATCTTTTGCTCTGTCACTCTGAACACACTAATCCCACTCTGAACACACTAATGCCACTGCTCAACGCCCCAGGCAAATATCTCAAGCCTCACATTCAGCAACTTCCAAAAAAAATTATTGAATTGTAAACTCAAAAACAAACACCACTTCCTGTATTTGCACATCAGCTATTCTTGAGTTAAAAATATCTCAGTTTTTCCATGCCCAGATCTATGTGGAAATTTTGCATAATCTCTTGCCCCCTCTTTCTCTTAACTTGTACTGCTTGCAACATAACATGGTTTTATCCAGTTGCAACATAATACCTGTTGGCTGTTGCAATCTGTTTTTATCCAGTCTAGTTTTTAGAAAAACGAAATAAATTACCATGAATCCCAGTTCCCATCTCCTCACCCGTCCTTTTTCCTTTCAAGTTTTGTGTAAATTATAGCAGAGCTAATTATCATATTTCTTATCACAGCAGGAGAAAACCAAAACATATAAATCTTGAGGCCCACGTGAGATGAAAAAGCTATTGAGAAATGAAATAGAGTAGTTTGACCTCTAGCACGCAGAACTGCAGCAATTAAGACTGCATTGGAAATATCAAGAGTACAATCTAAATTTCGTGAGGGTATTGTGATTTGTGAGTCAACTGTTTTTTTATTATATGGTTGGCCGTGTAGCAACCAGAAGGTCACATCAATAAGAAAAAATTTAATCGGGGAAACAGAAGAGGGGGCAGAAGATGATATATTCTATTAATAAATTTAGAATCTTCCTGAAAGACTTTCCACATATGATGTAAAATAGTCATATAGACAGCAGAAAGAATAGTACCTGTATCTTTTGGCCAACGTATTCCAATCTCTCAAAGCAAAATCTAGGATGCTCAAACTTAAACTTCGATGGATGCAGAAAACAAAGCTGCAATTGGATAAGACATTCAACATCAGCAAACTTTCAAACATCTAACTCATAATTACTCATTTTACATCTTCCAAAGAAGAGTCTCAGAAGATCCAAGTTGACTTATATGTCAAATATACTAACTGTTCCCAAATTAAACTATTAATACAGGAATACACTACTTGGGAAGTTCAAAAGCGGCCTGTGTTGTTGTGCAGTGAACTGTGCAAAGGTGCGAGAAAGACATAAATTTCCTAAATTTTCACACAAAAACGGGATATCACCGTAGGTGTACTTAGTCTGAAATTTTGACAAACAAAACTTTAAGATTTTTAACCCTCACTATCACTCAACAACATCTTTGACACCATTTAATACGTAGAAGCTTTGAGATTTGTTTGTTTATTCACTTGTTCAGAAATATGTGAAACATATAGAAACAATATTCTAGCAAAGCCCTCACTATCACTGAGAAATATGTGAAAGTAGAAAGAGAGACAATAGTTGATCTACCTGCAATCCAAGTCCAAGCTCTACGTTCCTGGCTTCAGTAATTTCTGGAATTCTGTCCGTCATTTCTAGTGGATATCCAAGTGTTCTCATAACTTGGGGTCTACTATCATAATCCCATATATTTCCTCTGAACCGATGCATGCCAGGAGGAACACAAGCTCTAAACAGCCTTGGATGAGAAAACAGAGCATCTGCAGGAGGCTGAATGAAGAACAGTGAACATCATTTCTGCCACAATACAATAATTTTCTATTGTAGGAAAGCATAAGTGCATCAGAATTTGTTAATTGTGCAGAAAACAAGGATGAATTAGCTACAGAATCAGATTAAACAAGTCTTAGCTATTGGCAATTGTGCATAATAAGTAGGTTTTGATGTGCTAATTTAAAAATAAAAAATACTCTTAACATATTATATTTATAGCTTGCCTTATAAGCAACAATATCTTGCCAGTTTAGCTTGCTTTCAAACTCAGCAGATACATAATCCACATCTTCAAGTTGTCTGCGCAACTTGGGCAGGCAATCCTCATCATCTGGATCCATTCCAAAGACTTCAAAAAGAACACGATAGACTTCTGGAAGACCAAAGCAAAGATATATTGCCCCAAACAAAGCCCAAAACACCGACCTACAATGTAACAACAAATATGAAAACGCAACAAACAATTCATTTCAGAAATAGATTATGAGCAAAGACCAACTCAAATCATTCGTATACGATGGTTGTAATACACTTGATTACCCTAAAAAATATCATATGAAAAGTTAAGAATTCAACATTTTTGTCTTTCTTTCCTATGTCCTGTTCCGAGCACCTTCTTACCAAACAACTTCAGCTTGAAAAGGAGATAACAACAGATATAATTTATAAAGGCCATTGATCTCATAACTATTAATTTAAACCTATAGTTTATATCATTAACTCGTGGTTTACATTATGGATGACAATTAGACACAATACGAAACATAAATTTAAAATCAAAGAGTTAACCCAAGTGCATAGTTATCTAACTGTATTGTAATTTGCAAGTACATGAAGTTCTACATAAACTAACATAATATAAAATAATGAAGTAACATGGAAGAAACCATTAGAACTTACTTGACAGATCCCTCTCTATCCCTTCTCACCATCCTATCCATATTATCAAAAGGAAATATCAAATTCTGCAAACTAGCAGCTTTAATCCACTTAGGCAAATTCTCCTTCCCAATCAACCCAAAAACTCTCTCCCTCATCGGCCCCGGCGTTTCCCTCGGATACTTCTGCAAGAAAAATTCCGCCAATGCCAATTCAAGCACAAACTGCCCCAAAAAACCCAACCTCGAATGCCCGGACTTAACATGTCTCGCCTTCGTTCTCTCACACGAAGGATGCTGAAACGCCAAATACAACAAAGTATCAAACTGTTTGGCCGGATTATCATCCTCTAACATCTCCGACGGCTCAAGCGAGTACCCGAGCGCTTGTTTCGCCTCGAGTAAATACTCATCAATCCATAATTTATCGGCATTGCTAAACCGCGAAGACGGTAAACAAGAACTCAATAAAGGAAACGATTTGAGAGACAATTGGGGACTATTGAGAAACCTTTCTGCTAATTTTTTGTCATCTAGTGGGGGTTTTAAGATGAACCTTCTTGAAGGGGATTTTGATTTTGGTGAGGTGATTTTTTTGCGTTCTGCGAGTTCTTTTAGAAGTTGTTGAGGATTGTTTTTAGGGAATTCTTTTGTTGAGTCTATGCTGACAGCGAGAACGCGTAGGGTTTGATGAGAGTGGTTATGGGGTTTGGAGTTTTTTATTAGAATTTGGATGGGAAATGGAGAGAAGGAAGATGAGAAAGAGAAGTTAGTTGGTGAGGATGAGGATGGTTTTGGGGAGAGTGAAAATGAGGAAGAGAGTTCCATTGTTGTTGGAACTTGAAGGTGAGTGAAATGTTGGTTGTAGAAAGTGGGTTATGAAGATTGATTTGTGGGTTTTTGAATTGGTTTTAACACCATAGATGAAGGGGTTTGGTGTGTTTGTGTTGAAGTTGCCGGGTTTTGGACACTAACTGGGTTGGATAAGATGAAGCAAAATGCCACACTTGTTACTTCTTAGATATTACATTTACATATTTTAGATTTGTTTTATTTTTTTAAAAGTAACAAAAATTTTAATTTTTGGTTAAATTATTTTTTATCACTCTATTTTTGTTTTTGTTGCTATACAAAATTAATCTTCTATTTTATTTTTATTTTTATTTTGTCATAAAATTATAATGTGTAATTTGAAGTGGTGTGGATATTTGTTCTTGAGTTTCTTCTCAATTTTTCATGGTAATTTATTACCATTTTCTTTGCATTTTTCTACAACAATTCAAATTTAATATTAAAGATAGAGACGATTAGGAGTTTCTTATGACACTATATGAGGTGGAAAAACACCCTATGAAAAATTTAAAATGTCTCTTAAATTTTAGAGATGCACCTTCGAACGCATATTGTTTTAAATCAAAACGTTAATTGATCTGGAGATACATCTCCGAAATATTTCAAAACATACACCATGAATCCCACTCTGAAACGCATTTTACATGTTAATTGTTACGAAGATACATTTTCGTTTAGGGTTTACGGAGATGCATCTCCATACCATGTCAGAAACATTATAAATTATGTTTGTTTTATGGTTACGCAGATGAAAGTGATGATTTATAAATGTTAAGAATCATCTTATGTGATGACATTTAAACCATACAATCGATATGCAAAAATGACATATACGTCCAAATGGTCCAAAATGACATATAAATAAAGTCGAAATACATGATAAAGTAGAATGAAGTGAAAATAAAATACAATTCATAATGAATATAAAGTACAACTATTATATACTACTGCATATGCCGGACACAACTCATCTGGCTCCTCGTGTGCCTCAGCGTCCACTACCCTTGTCCTCCGACGTTGTCTCTGGTACAATAGTATCTATTGTGCCTCCGTCATAATGACATCTAGGATTTGCGTCTCCTCCGACCCATCAGGGAATATACATTTATCAATGTCTGTCTGTGCAATCTCCATTATACGACAACATCTACACAAGACATCATGAGCATGATCTAATTGTGTCTTCTCCTTATCTAGTATCTCTTAATGATGAGTTAGCCTCAGTGGATCTCCTAGAGCAGCCTGCACCATATATGAATGTGATACCCTGAAGAACCACCTGACCTACTTGTCAACTTAGCTTTAATCGCTCTCTACTATGGTACTTCGTGCCTCCTCCAAAACTAGATGACTAAAATAACTATCAAACATAGCATCCATCTCTCTATGTGTCATAGCAAAAGGAGTATAGACAATAGAGTGTCTAGGAATAGTCTGAGTGTAGTTGAACTATCGCATGACACACTCAAGCAGATGAGGAAATGTGAGACGTGAGCCGCAAGTCAACCATCCAGAGTATAACATTATGTCGTCAAATGGTTACGTCTCACGGTGATCGACATAGTTGTTGAAGTGCATAACATTGACAACCAAGCGGTCAAGATACACTTTGAACACATTTATCACCTGGTTCCCTCTAAGCGGAGAAAATGCAGAAGCATGCATATCTTCAGTGTAAGTCTGCACACATGACCAGCCAGAGAGGCACGGGAAGTGCTGGAGGATCTAAGTCTGAAAAGTGTTGGAACACACTAATCATCTGTAAGGGCGTTGCAAAAATGTAATGAAAATGACACAGAAATATTAAAAGACCAATAAATATTATCGCCGATAGTGTGATATTGCCTATGGCATGCTTCATCTTCCATCTACAAACCTTTGATAACTTCAAGTACAAGTAGAACAAATAAACAACCCCCCAGTTATACTCGTTGATCCGCTTGAAGTTCTCGAAGTACCGTATGTAAAGAACATCTGTATAAGTGACACCCTTGTCCACAAAAATTACAGTGTCAACCAAATATAGCAGATATTGTTAGATGATAGGTTTTGATCTAAAGAGGGTGAATAAATCATAAACTTAAAACAAAAAACTCTTGGCAAAACTTTGTTTTCAAAAAGTATGGCACAACAGAAAAACAACCTGAATCAAATCGTCTAACCGAACCTACTATTGAAAAACTATATGTGCAATGTAAACCTTTTGAAATAATAATGAATACAAATCATTCAACAATTATCAAGTCACAGATCAATTAAACGCAAAGTTATTCGTAATGCTTATTTCCAATGAACACAAAGCGATAAAAATATTTCACAAACAATTTATCGAACACTTTGTGTGCCATTGATTATGTTTGGAAATTTGATTTATTTTGTTGATGTAAAAACTCAATCGCAATCAAAGTGGTTGTGATTCTATCAACAACAAAAATTTAAAAGAAAGCTAAAAATAATTTCCAATTAAATTAATCGAAACAACAACAAAATCGTAAATTTTCAAGAACAACAATCAAAGAAAATTAAAGCGATAAAGAGACACAAAGATTTACTTAGGCAGTTCCCTAATTGGCCTTGTTATGGGTACATCTGCTCTTAATCCGAAATTAAATTGAGATACTTTCTATTAACCTTATCTTTGCAAAAATGTTTGTACAAAAGGGGAATAATTCTAACCCCATAAAACCTATTGTTTGTTGTTGAATTAACCACCTCCAAACCTTTGATCAAAGCTTGATCAAGTCACCAACGACGCGGCTACAATCCTCTGATTATCTCGAGCACGTACTTGTTGAACCCAAGATTCCCGAACACGATTCACCGTCTCGTGCTACTCCCTTGCAAGAAAATCCAACATTGGTTTTCTTATTTGAAACACACAAAGATCTCAACCCAATATTCTCGGTTACACCAAAGCTAATTGGACGTTATCAACCATAATATAGATGGTCACCTAATTGAAAAATGATTATGTGTAATTCAATTGTGTGTATGCATAGAAGAGAGGTTGAAGATGATGAGAATGCTTTATAATCTGGTTTCGTATAGGTAATTCACTAGTACCAACCTAGATAAAAGGTGCATGTATGTGTGTGTGTGTGTGTGTGTGTGTGTGTGTGTGTGTGTGTGCGCGCGCGCGTGTGTGTTGAAGGTGTGAAAAGTACACAAGATGGAGGAATTGTCTTCACCAACATTGTTATTTCCCTGAACAACTATATGTTCCACATATTGCATAGTTTCATCATCTCCAACATGTTGCTCAGCAGTTGGATCAATAAATTTTATAGGATCGTCAAAATTATACACCTTCCGTACATATTTTCCTAGCCATATATAGTAAGTTTGAGGTTCTTCATCCCAGAAGTACCCCATATTTATTAAGGTACGTTGAGTGAATTCCTGAACTGGGCCAGGCGAGATGAGTAGCAGATTCGACACACCAATGTTGAAAAAGTTCATAATTTTTAAGACTGTGGATGTGTAGCAGAAGGATGTACCTTTGTTGCATTCCTTGATGGTGAACATTCTGGATACAAAGTAGTGTGGCTAGTTGATTCGAATCTTGTGCATAAGGATATACACGAGATGAATTTTTGCATTGTCCACTCTTGAGTAACCCATTTTCTTAGGGTGTAAAATATGGGAAACTATCCATAATAGAATTCTTGGGACCATCTTGAGTTGGCTGACGGCTATAGCCTCATGGGAGTCTTCTGGCCTTGGAGCCTTGAGCATTTCATTGAGATTAGTGTTCGACTCGAAATCCCTATGAATTTTACCAAAGAATCAGGTTCTTCGTCAGCATCAGGATCACTAATAGTGATGTCAAACAACACCTTCAAAATATTACCATTAACCTCATACGCTTTATTTCCAATGGTGAATTTGAAGGTATATCCATTCTGATCGTGTAGTCCAAAATAGAACACCCGGACGAGATCTTTTTTGTAATCTTGCGATAGTTGTAGAAAATAGTTTATCTGCTGGTGTTTGACAATTCAAACCACTGTAGGAAGTTCCAAAGATCCAACAACTGATGGCTTCCACACATGTTGTTTCATGACAAGGCGGTGCAGAAATTTCTCTTTGAATTCTGCCACACAGTTGTTTGAAACTAGAGACAACACGGTTTCAAGAATGGTTGATGATGCAGCAGCCTTATCACTTTTGTTTCTCGCAATTTTGGGAGCCATTTGGATTGCTAAGAAATTTTTGATAGAAATGTGATGTTTGGAACATGAAAGAAGGTGATGCCCATTTATAGAGAATGAAGAATGCATAAAATTTATGTTACAAGAAAGTGGAAGGTTGAATGGTTTAATGGTCTGAATTGAATAGTAATAGTGGAGAACTAAATACACTAAAAGGGGTTACATTTGTTGACTGGAAGATGAATAACAAAGGAAATTGATTCATGAATCAATCATGACTGTAGGAAGATAAAGAATTGTGGTCAAATGAGTCATAATTTGTCTACTTGTTGTCATTGGTCGACCTATACGAATATGTGCCAACCTATACTGTAAGTTCTGTGAAGATATACAAAATTTAATCTGCATAGGCCATCGTCCTATACTAAACCAGTCAACATAAAGATTAAATTCAATTTACATAGGCCGACATGTACTGATACATGTCGACTTGAAGACTTTACAATGTGGGAAAGTGACTCAAATGGACTTCTTGACACAAAAAAATGACTCAATGTAGATTCATGCATACTGACTTGATTAGAGATACATGAATATAATAAGGTTTGATGGTTTGTTTGCTTGAATCATGCAACATATGATCATGCAAGCATGACTTGGTTTGAGATAAAGATGAAATATGATGGCATTTATGTATAGTTACTATAAACATGTAAAATGCAACAAATAATAGTCACATTGGATATTTTAAGAAGTAAACACATATCACAAATTTCACACATATAGTTCATCATATATCTTCATTAAATATACAGGTAAAATAAA